CAAAATGTTGAACTAATTCCTGAAATAAGAGTTCGCCTAATCTTACAGCTTCGTATGGAAGATGGTGATCCAGTTGCAGATAGAGATGGTGTTGGGGGGGGACTGTCCATGGGGGAAGTTGCATCCATTGCTGCCCTCCCCCTAAACTATACCTTGGCTCATCTTAGTTTCTGGTGCCCAAAAGTCCAGAACATCTGGCTAAGGCCTTTGAGAAAATGTCCTTCTCCCTGTTTATGTAGGACGAGGGTTAGTTAGACCCATACTTAAGAAACGGATACGTACTTTTTACACATCACTGACCAAACAGTAGAACAAACCAAGTTAAGACAATTCAAATGACATTAACCCCTAAGAAGTAGTTTGGAACTAACTAAAAATGGACTAAATTGTATTTCTCAACCAAGGTTGAGAAATACCAGACTAAAATCCACACCACCAATCTTTTTAGAGGAAAAAAACCTCTACATTGGTTAAATACTACTACAAGCTGGGGATGGAGGGGAATGTGTGTGAAATCTAGGAGGTTTAGTCTGGCACTTCAAAGGTGATTGCTAAGATGGTTGCTGGTTGATCTTCATCGAGGGTGGAGATGCCTGGACAACTGTGCATGGGCTCGGTTGAACAAGCTCGGATCCTTGCACAAGGCCATCCTTTCAGAAACCCCTCTTTAGGACTTGATCAGGATCTTCCCATTTCGCAGCCGAGGAAAACTGAGGGGAACAGGGATCCAGGCTCGTCCCCAAGTTTAGGAGAGCGAGTAGGGTGAACCTGTTCCTCCTTTCTTTATTTTTGGGGTTCCTCATGTTGGAAAGTCCCAAAATAGTTGGGAATTTCCTCTGGCTGATAAGGCAAAGAGCCTTATCTCTCCCGTTGCAGCTGTGAAACATCCAGCTGTAAAACTCCGGTTGCAAGAAGTTGCGGTCACTCTCCCCATACGCAAGAGTCATATGAAAACAATGAAAAAAAAACGCATCAAAACTTGAAGAGGGGAAGTGGGAAAATGGAAGGCCATTTTTCCTGTCTTACTACCGATAGGGAAGTGATCGCTTGTGTAGGTGGCTGGCTGATAAGGAGAGGCAAAACCAACTTTCATCCTTCTGTTTCCCCCAGTGCTCCTGTGCTTTAATGGACGCAGGGCAGAGAAAAGCAATTGGCAACCAAGGTATAAAGGCTCCTCCTTTGCTAGTTTGTAAAGTTCACAGCAACTGGATCTCAGAACTCTTAATAGACCAGGTTATTTCTACCCCCTGCAAGGGTTCACTTACTGATTTCTGCTGATCAAGGGCCGAAGAGCAGACAAAGCCAACATGGTTAGGTCAGTTGGCAACCTCTGGACCGTTCAGGGATGCAGTTTCTTAACTGGACAGTAAAAAAAAAGACTGGACTTTGAGAGCCTGTTTGTTTCAAAGCTAGCCGAGAATTTTAACCAAGACAAGATTGAGAAAGAGGCAAAAAATGCCAAGTTTATTCTCCTACACTGCTCATCTGTTCCTTCATTTAAAAAAGATTGGGGTGGCTGCTGGAACTGTTAACAGGTGGCATATTCAAGTTTGGGGTGTTTTTGGCCTAATATTTCCCAGAATATTGAATGACCGGCTCATATGCAGTTGGGTGTCTGTGTGTGTGTGGAATCTGAGTAAAAGAATAGCTAACAGTGTTGGTTTTTATTTTAAGGACATCCCCTGTTTTTATTTTGTTTGCCACTCAGTTTCTTGGCTAAATGGGAAGCCATATACCTCGGATTAATACATAAAAATAAAGGAATAATAAAATAAATGACATGCCTAAATTAAGCAAATGTTCAGTCTTCCCTGCTCTGATTTCCAGGGCAGCAGAAATCAAAGAAATAGAAGGCACCAGATGAAAATGTGATCAGTCCCTAGAATCAGGGAAAGCTGTCCTTCCTTCCTTCCTTCCTTCCTTCCTTCCTTCCTTCCTTCCTTCCTTCCTTCCTTCCTTCCTTCCTTCCTTC